GGCCTATCACTAAGCTGCTAACCGAGAAAAATCATTGAAAAAATGTGTTGTACATATTTAATTTTCATAACACTTCTAGAAAAACTATCTGCTTTATTACTTCATTTTCTGTATTTATTATATAAGAACAGTTAAATTTACAGTGAAGAAGTTCTTTTTTATTTTCTCTCACACAAAAGACTAGACAGAAGGATAATTCTTTATTACCTTCTCTCCATTTGTTTTATTAAATTAATAATTATGCATAGAGAAAATTGTGCAGCAATATATATTAACAGATAACATTGTTTACCTCAGAGTGGAACTGCTAAGGAAAGGCTGAAATTAACTTTTTTTTGTACTTCTTTGTTGTTTAACTTAATTGCAGTATTTATAAAACAACCAGTAAAGTATGTCATGTTTATAAGGGAAGCCTAAATATAAAATAAATTAATACATATTTGTAGAATGATTAAAAAACAATATGGAGTTTACAGTGTAGGAACTGTGCCACTCTATTTTTGGCTGTATATAAGTTTTCGTTACTATACAAAACAGAATGAAGATTATGTAAATGTAGCTATACTTATAAAACTATATACTTTTTATTTATATCATGGGCATCTTTCCATATTGATACATATTCATTTACTTTATTTTCTAAATACTACATAGAATTTTAAAACCTTTTGTCGGGAATCTTTTTTTAAATTGAAATATATACAGAGAAAAGTGTCTAGCTTAGTGACTTTTATAAAGTGAAGACATGCATATAACCACCATCCAGATCCAGATCAAGAATAGTGCTGATCACTACATGAGCTTTCCTCACACTGCCTCCCAGTAATAAACCTGCTCCCTCCTAGTTATAGGTAGCCATTCATATAGATAACTAGGGGCCCAGTGCATTAATTCGTGCACCTTGAAAGGAACTGTGGGCCGCAAGGCTGCGGTGGGCACAGGGGCGGTCTCGGCCCACCCGCACCCCCTCCTGGCCCCTCCCACCGCGGCCCCTGATTCTCGGTCCCCTGTCTACTGGCAGCCCCGCTCCTGCCACCACTGCTCCCACACGCTGACGGTGCCAGCCCCACTCGCACCCGCTGATGGTGTGGAGTGATTGCGGCTGGTGCCAGCAGCAGGTGTGAGGAGGGCCAGTGCTGTCAGCAGGTGTGAGCAGCGGCTGCTGCCCTGATTGCCCTCAGGAGCAGGGGGAGGTGGAGAAGCCCTCTGGGGCGATTGGGGCCCGTAGCTGCCACTCGCACCCGTTGATGGTGCTGAGCCATCGGGACTGGCATCAGGCACTGGCAGCAGATGCGAGCAGCAGCGGATGTTAGAGGGGCTGTCGCTTCAGTGGGTTCGAGCAGCTGCTCCAGTGCTGGCAGTGGGTGCGAGCAGGGCCGGAGCTGGCAGCAGGTGTGAGCGCTGGAGCAAAGAATTTTCAGTAACCACCAGTGGCTTGCCCCGATGACAGCGACTGGCGCCCCACCTTGGTCTGGAGCCCCTGCTCACCTGCTCCACCATCCCGCTGTGGCCAACACCCGCCATTTCTGTGCACACCCCCTGGTGGTCAGCGCATGTCATAGCGACCAGTTGTTTGGTTGTTTGGTTGTTCCTCTGTTCCATCTATTTGCATATTAGGGTTTTATATATATAGATTGTGTCTCTTTTAGTTTTAAATAAGTTGATTCATACAGCTCTGCCTAGCTTTTTTATGTGTGTCTGATGGTTTTTGGTAGACAGTGTTTTTGTGGGATTTATCCACGTGGTTGCATATTGCAGTAGTTTGTCCTTTTTCTGTTTGGTATAGTAGACTATAGTAGAATGCATAAGTACCACAATTATGCATTTTCCTGTTGATGGGTGTTTGAGTTGGTTCAAATTGGGAACTATGAGCCTTTTTGTACATGTCTTTTGAACACATTGCCATTCAGCATGTACACATTTCTGTGTCCTATATACTGAGGAAAGAAACTGCTAGGTTGCCCTGGCCGGTGTGGCTCAGTTGGTTGGAGCATCATCCCATACATCAAAAGTTGGCGGGTTTGATTCCTGGTCAAGGCACATACCCAGGTTTTGGGTTCAATCCCCAGTTGGGATGTGTGCAGGAAGGAACAAATCTAAACTCATTTTTTAAAAAGAGGCAAAAGCCCTAGCTGATTTCTTCAGTAGTTAGAGCATCAGCCTGCTGACCGAAGGGTTGCAGGTTCAATTCCATTCAAAGGTACATACTTCGGTTTCAGGCTCGATCCCTGGCCCTGGTTGGGGCACATGCAGGAGGCAACCAATCAGTGTTTCTCTCTCTCTGTCTCTCCCCCTCCCTTACACTCTCTATAAAAAAATAAAATCAATGGAAAAAATATCCTCGCTTGAGGAAAAGAAGAAATTGCTAGGTCCTATGGTATGCATATGGTCAATTTTAGTAGGTACTGCCCCATTGTTTCCCAAATGACCCTGACATTTTACCCTCCTGTCAACAGTATGTTTTTCTCCTTTGAGAATTTCTATCATCCTCTTCTCCACCTGCCCCCTTTCTCTCTCTTATTAGTGAACGGTTGGTTTTGTTTCTTGGTTGTTGTTTGTTTTTGGTGACTGATTTAGAACATTACTTTTAACCCTTTGCACTCCGCTGTCCCCTCTCAGGGGACATCGGAATTCTAGCATATCACTCGGATGTCCCCTCTCAGGGGACATTGCAGTTTATTAGTGATTACGGGGAATTGAGTTATTTCAACGCAACTTTTTGAGACATGCATGTTTCCCTGAAGTTTTATCTTGAAATGGCACAAGAAATTAAATCAAAATATCGTAAAATTACTAAGATATATACAAGAAATGTCAGCGGGTTTTGTGTCGGATTAAACAATAAACTACATATTCCCGATGTGGGACAAAGAAAACGGGACTGCATTGTGTGTTCTAACAGGAAAACACCTGGTGGCAGGCGTCAAACCACTTATTACTGTCAAACATGCACTAATCAGCCTGCAATGCATATTGGGGAGTGTTACAAAACTTATCATACTGTACAAAATTATAAACAATAAAATATTGTTTTTGCAAATATACATTCCTCGATGTCACCCAATTCATATAAGTCCAATATCATTATAATACGCTACTTGGTTCCAAAATTATACTAAATAATACGAGGGTCTGTAAATGCACGTTTCCGCCGCAAAGTAGCGTCGAGTAGCTGATAGCCAATGTCCAGAATGGTTCGGAGTGCAAAGGGTTAAAAGTCTGCCCAGTTTTTTTATTATGTGAGTATACCATAATTTAACTAATCTTTTGATGGGCTTTTGCCCTCTTCCTTCACTACCTGGACAGCGCTAAAATCTAGTGGGCTCAGTGTTTATTCTGTACGATCTGACTGTGTGGGGGAGATTCAATACTGAAAGTAACAGAACTGATATAGTCTATTTTTTCTTAAAAGATTTTCCTCAAATTCTGTTTGTTTTGAGTAGTATGGTACTGATGTGAAGAATCCACATAAAAATGTTTTATTTTGTTGACATGAAAATCAATTTTGATTTCATAGTGGAAAACGGTTTTCTTCACTCTTGTTTAAAAGTAATGTAATATCTGAATCTGGACTTGTGGTAAGGCATTGCTAAAGACAGCCAACTTTAAATAATTTGCATTCTCTTAGAACAAGCATAGAGTGCTGGCTGCCAGCACCTGCTTCACATAGATCGTCAATCCATTGGAAAACCGCTGTGTGAATTATTTGAGAATGTAATCACTTAGGTTTTGGAAAACTGAATTTCACCCTTTGGAAATGAAAGGTGGTTCCAATCAGGGAACCTTGCTTCACAGCCCAACTTGTCTTTTAACAAAGCTTCCCTCCCCCATTTCCGCAAGTTTTCTTCTAACATAGGTTTTTAAAAGTATGAAACTCTAGGGGCTTGCTTTTAATGAGTTAAATATAATCACCAGGCCTCCTGCTTCTCATGTTAGGGGGTGTGATTACTTCATGATAACCACTCTTCCTGTTGTGCATTATAGCTTTAAACAGGTGTTGTCACAGGTGGTATTCAGTACTATCAAGTTACCATAAGTAATTCCTTGGGAGAGTTAAGATACTGTTAACCCTCTCTGATAGCTGCCTGGTCCTTTAGAAAGTGCCTTATGGACATATAAGACAGTTTCATCTTTCCTATTATTCTTTGCTTTGCCAGTTGTATGTTAAATTATTCATTTTTGGAATAGCTATAATGACCTGAAGGAGCAAGTGATTCTCATACTAGTCAGTTTTAGACATGCTTTTTTAATTTCACATGTGGAGGTTTTCCCCATTTCTAATTAATTGCTGTCAAGAGCTTCTTACTTATAGCTGAAAACTTCTGCTTTATATTCTGTTCAGTTTTTTGAAAAGTCTGTGTTAGATGACTGCCTTTACCACTTGAGATTTCTTAAGAGGTCATATTGCAGCAGAAGTCTAAAAGTCTTCCAATTCTTAGTTATCTGTACTAATGATAATGAATCTGAAATGCCTAAATGAATTAACAAATAAGACAGAAACTTTATTGAAGAGAGCATTTTCAATGACCTCTTTTTTTCCCAGCCCCTAATTCTTTTATTAGTATCAGTAATTAGTAGCAAAACTTGCTGGCTTGATTTTTTTTTCTTTTCAATATCTATTAAAAGTTCTAATATTCTAAACCAGGATTGGGGTGGAGGTGGTGGTGGTTGGAGGAGCACAAATCTAATCAATTTTTGATTAATAACTGTTACTTAGGAATCTCTTCATGTATCTCATATTTATGGACCAGGTTTAGAGATTGATTTTAGAGACCACTTTCAAATCTTGATTAATAAAATGCTGACCTCTAGTAGATAATTCTGAATATATCCTAGCACGTTTAGCCAGCTTTTACCAAGAAGCCCAATATAAGAGTTGTTCAAGTTGCAGCTTTCTTATAAAGAAGAGAATAAAGAACCAGTAACCTAGAACCAAGAGAACCCTCCTTAAGTTCCCCGCAACTTCATTACTTGCAACAGCTGTTTCTCTTTCTACATAGGTATCAGTCAGAGCCGGATCTCTCACTGGCTGTTGCAACAGGGATCAGACCTGAGTGAGCAGAAGAAAAGGGCATTTTACCGATGGTATCAACTGGAGAAGACAAACCCTGGTAAATATCATTTTCTTTTTTCATTGCATATGAAATGAGACATATGTAATTAATTGCTTTATTGAATCCATGTGCTGCCTTGTCTTCATCATGGTAGTTTCAGACTTTACTGTTTTTCTTTTAAGCCAAAGAAAAACTGCAAAACCTAAGCCCTATTGTACCAATTTTTTATTTAGTGTCTAATGTCATCTAAGGTGCCTCTTTGTTTCCAGTTTTTTGATATTTCTAACAAGAGTTTGAAAGAAAAGTCATGGTTGTCAGTGGGCGATTTTCTTTTTCTCAACTATAGGTACACATAAGATTCCGTGTCTAGTTTTTTTTTTCTTTAATCTTGTTTTAGTAGTATAAACTTATACTTTCATTTACTCCATGCTATACCTTATCCAATGATCTCTGCTAATGGTTTTCCAATTCTAATTACCTGGGTAGTAAGTGTGTCTTTGGACTTATGCGAAAGCTGTCCAGATGACTTTGGGAGCAGCAATAGGTTGGAAAGTAGAATAAAATCTTAAGGAAAAAGATCACAGAAACCTTTGTGTCTGAGGTTGCCAGGGATAGGCAAATTCTAGTACAGGATACTTTTAACAAGTGGTATATAAAGTAAAACCTGAAGTTGTGTGACAGACTGTCTCAATCTACACGTAACAGACTGATGGCAGTGAGCCCGATGTCAAGTTGACCTTGTGATTGAGCTGTCTTCTGTAATATTACAGCATTAAATCCTTTGCTTACAGACTGAATTACCAGTTGTAATATTGCATATTGAAGACTCTTAGCTAATAATAGCATTGGCCCTGAGGCAGGAATAAAGAATGTTATGGAGACATATATTTTCGTGTGTCTGTGGTAAGATATTTTTCAGAGATCACATTCTTGACCTGAAAAGCCCAGGCAGGCCAAAACAGAAGAGAACATATTAACCTCTCTGCAGTGAATTTTTTATCTACCTGACCCCCAGTTTCTATTTTGAAATGTTTCAATGTACAGAAAAGTTGAAAGACCAACACAGTGAATATCTGTTCACCCTCTTCTTAGATACAGTAATTGTTAACATTTTGCTACATTTGCTTTATTCCTATAAAATAAATTAATTAAAAACTTACATATATGTATGTTTGCATGCATACACACACTCTCTTTAGCATTCATCTCCAAAAAAGGAGTAATCGCCTATGTAACACAGTTCCTATGATCATACCTAAGAAAATTAATAATAATTTGCTGGGGCTGATCAGCAGCCCCTGAACAATGGATGAACAGATTACTCTGACACAGTTTCACTGTGGGGGAGAGGGCTAAGGGACAGCCCAGCTGAAAGAGCCAGGCAGCCTCGATTGCCTGCCTCATTAGACTTTTATTGGAATTTTTATCTTTAGATAAAGTCAGTAGGGTGAGTAATCTTGGGAGGACACATGTGTTTACATTGTCCTCAAGGCAAGGACATCCAGGGATTAAGCATAAGGATTCCAGTAAACACCCAGGGGTCTGCACATGCAAAGACTTGTTTGGAAAGGTCAAGGAATAATTAGGGGCACTGCCTTCCACACTCCCCTTAGGCTCCCCTAAGTCGGAATTCCGATAAACAGGGCAGGCGGCCTTCCACACACTTCCCTTTTCTCGGAATGTCCTCCTTACAGCTTTCCAACCAAGTCTCTTGTGCTCCCCAGCAATAATTCCTTAATATCATCTAATATCCAGTCCATATTTACATTTCTGTAGATGTTATAAGAATGTCTTTGATAGCTTTTTAAAAATTGAATAGTGTCTGATTTAGGTTGACAGGTTGGAATTTGTTATGTGTTTTAAGACTTTTAAATCTAGTCACTTAAACTTTTTTCATGACAAACTTTTAAAATCATTTAATATAATGTCTCATATTCTGGATTTTTAGTTTTCTCTTATTGTCAATTAAGACAATCTCTTTAAGTATTTCCCATAAACTGGAAGTTAGGATTAGAGGCTTGATTAGATTTAGGTTAAACATTTTTGGCAAGAATATTTCATAGATTATTTAGGGAGGGCATGTGTTAATGGCTGCAGTTTACTTTGAAATGCATAAAAGTAAAATGAATAGGAAGATGATAAAGAAATGTGATAAAGTTAGTACTGTGTTGTAAAATACTAGATAGTATGAGTACAGATTTTTGCTATAAATTCTTTCATTGTTCTGTATGTCTGAAAATTTTCACAATAAAACATAGGGGCAAAATGCTTGTTAAGTAATGTTTACCTCAATTTACCACATATCCAGAGGTGTATAATGGTATATATATATATATATATAATATGCTAAGTTTGATCATTTGTTAAAAGTAGTGGTCACCAGGTCTTGTCGTTACAGTTTATAAATAATCTACGGGGTGTAATTTTGCCACTGAATGACTCTCCTCTTCGACTGTTTGCCACTAGTCTTAGCATCCTTTGATGATGCTCATCTGAATCAGTTGCTCCAATGGAGATCGCAAAATGGTGATAGTCTAATCTAACATTCCTTCAGCATTTATTAGCTGGCAGTTTTTCTGCAAAGGAATCTCATTTTTAAATATTTTTCTAATGATAACTAGACATAACAAACCTCTCAAAAATAATGACTCTTGTTGCTGCCATTAGTTAAATGTTCTAAATTAGCACATTTCAGTAGAAATATAATGCAAATGACATGTGCAATTTTGAATTATCTAATAACCACATTTTAAAAGGTGAGAATAGCTAAACTTAATATATTTTATTTAAGAAATATATATTATTCAGCATTTAATCTTTCTTTCTCTTTGTACTGATTCTTTGAAATACAATATATGTTTTACACTTAAAGTACCTATGTCCAATCAGCCACATTTCAAGTGTTGAATAACCCCATGGGCTAGTGGCTACTGTATAGGACAGCACAGCAGCACTTCAATCTCAGCTTACAGCAATCTTCCCAAAGATAGCACTTCTTCCATAATTCACAGCAGAGCAAATCACATGAAGAGGGACAGAGCTTGGCACTTGTCTGTTTAATTAATAGAGCAGCTTTAGGCTGGCTGGTAGCAAGGGTTCAGCTAAGTAAATAAGGAATTGTGCTTGGGGGTTTCATGACCTGGTCACATTCCAGAAATTGGTTACCAGAGAGCACCAGAGAGATTGTCAGGATGTTCCAAAATGAAGAATTTGGAGGGCAAATACTAGTCATTTGTGTCAGGCAGTCGTCCTCCTTAAGAGAAGGGATTTGTCACTTGTATTTGGCACTTAGAACAATGCCTAATGTATAATCTTATCACAGTTGGTGGTGCTAAATTTCCACACTGAGATTCAGGGCTGGGCTCCAGTCCCAAGCAGGAACTTGGATACCAGGAAGACAAATTAACTAGAAACAGGAAGGAGAGACCAAGTTGCAGCATTTTTGCAGTTGATCTGATAGCACTTCCCACTGCAGAATACTATTGTTGGAATTCAGATTTTAGCACTGAGGTGGATATTGTGTTCTTCTGAAAATTATTGTTTTATTTTTAATCTTAGTTCCTATTTCAAGCTATCTTGGAACCAGAGCTAGGTTCACCCATCAGCAGGAAATTGGAGAAAATTGGAACTAAGGCATTGAAACAAGAAAAATGGGAAAGGACTAACATCATTCATCCAGCTGTTGATGAGAAGCTGTTTTCTTTATGGAGATAGTGCCCCTGTTAAGAATAAATTCCCCTAATCATGCATTTGTTGTTCAATAAAGTTGCATTGCCAACTATCCCTTTTTTTCTGGGTGGTTTTTGTTTGTTTGCTTGCTTTTTTTGTTTTTGTTTTTAATTTGAAAATCAAATCTATACTGGTTCTGAGTTCTCAAATTTTCTGTAGGACATAATTTGAAAGATGAGTTAATAATTCAGTTGGTAGTTTTCATTGCATAAACAGTAATTGGATGTTAGCAATTAAAATTTAATTTTAAAGATTTTATTTGTATTTCAATCTTTATTATAAGAGCTAATATGCTATAGAATTCTTTCTAAAGATAAGTGCTGGATAAGTGCAGTTTTATTTTTTGTTCAATTACAGTTTACATATAACATTATATTAATTTCAGGTGTACACTGCAGTGATTAGACATTATATAACTAAGTGATCATCCAATATATCTTGTACCCATTTGACACCATACATAGTTATCATAATACTAGGGGTCCAGTGCACGAATTCATGCACCTTGAAAGGAACTGTGGGCTGAGAGGCTGTGGTGGGCACAGGGGCAGGTCTTGGCTCATCCTCCGTGCCCCTGCCCAGCCCCTCCCGCCGCCGCCCCCAGCCCCCTGTCACGAGCTGACAGCACCAGCCCCTCTTGCACTTGCTGATGGCGCAGAGCGACTGGGGCCGGCGCCAGCAGCAGGTGCAAGCAGCGGCTGCTGGTCCCAATCACCCCTCAGGAGCAGGGGGAGGTGGAGAAGCCCTCAGGGGCGATTGGGGCCAACGCTGGCAGCAGGTGCGAGCACCAGGTGGACCGCAGTGCGCAGAAGCAAAGAATTTTCAATAACTACCAGAGGCTCGCCCCAATGACAGTGACCAGCGCCCTGCCTTGGTCTGGCGCCCCCGCTTACCTGCTCCACCATCCCGCCACAGCTGAGGCCCTACATGTTCCATGCTCTGCTGCCAACACCCACCATGTTCCATGTGTGATCCCTGGTGGTCAGGGCACATCATAGCAACTGATTGTTCGGTTGTTCCGCCGTTTGGTCTATTTTTTTAAAAATATATTTTATTGATTTTTTTACAAAGAGGAAGGGAGAGGGATAGAGAGTTAGAAACATTAATGAGAGAGAAACATCAATTCAGCTGCCTCCTGAACACTCCCTACTGGGGATGTGCCCGCAACCAACATATGTGCCCTTGACTGGAATCGAACCTGGGACTTTTCAGTCCACAGGCCAACGCTCTAGCCACTGAGCCAAACTGGTTAGGGCCGTTCAGTCTATTTGTATATTAGCCTTTTATTATATAGGATTATTGACTGTATTCCCTATGCTGTGCTTTAC